AGGGTGGGGGTGGGAGGTGGCAGGCAGCTCAGGGGATGGGGGTGAGAGGTGGGGGGTGGCAGCTCAGCTGTCCCCTGCTTCCTCCTCATGGCCCTGCTTCCGGCGCTCGGGGAGCGCCATAGGCAGAGGCCAGGCTTTTAGCCTTCCTCAGCCTCAGCGCCCCCAGCCATAAAACAGGGTGGCGACAGTCCCCATCGCACAGGTAGGCGTGAGGCGTCCGTGGGTGGGGCATAACACGGCTCCGAAGTGGTTGCTGTCAGTTTTGCTTTTTTCCTGCCTATTTCCTTCTATTTTCCTGCTCGCGTGTCTCTGCACTGCCCCAGGCCTGGTTCGGGCCCCATCCTGCCGCTTCCCAGCTGTGTGCCCTCAGGCAGCTTCCATAAATCTCTGAGCCCGTTCTCCTGTCCCATGAAATGGGAATGCGCACTTCCATCCACTCAGGGTTGCGGGGGGAATCCGCGGTGTCCTCGGTGCGCAGTGCCCACGCAGTGTGGGGCTCACAGAAGCCTCTGGGGAGGCGGCGTCCTCGCTCCTGCCCACGCGGCCCGTCAGAGCTCGGCTGGCTGCGTGGACTGCACATGCCTGACTCCCGATCGCCACCTCGTGGCCTAATGGGTGACTGCAGGTTTGCAGTGAAATTCAAACTCGCTTCTGGTCTGTTTTGGGGATTTAACGCAAAGCGCCCCAAGATTTGATGTGGGGAGGGGGGTTGGGGGCGAGGAGTGAAAGTAGAGTGCTTCCCGCAGCAAGCCACCTGTATGTTCGAAGCAGAGAGAAGATGTACCAGGGGCCTCCTGCCCCTGGGCCAGTTCCCACGAGATTCTGGGCTTTCTGTGCTGTGTCTGAGCTATTGGGATCAGTTTCCCCAGTGAAGAAACGATAGCTCTTGAGACCATGGTGGGGGAACACCCTTGACTCTAAGAAATTAAAAATGTACATTTTCTTTATCCAGGAAGTGGGCAAAGAAGTGTTTATCTTTCCTCTTTAGGCCATGAATAGGTATATTTGAGAATACATATACTCCTCTGATTTATTCCCTGCTAAATCAAAGTACAGGAGGTGACATGTCAAGTGCCTCTTGCTGCCAAGGGCCTGACTGACCCTGGCATGCCCAGTGCGGTAGCGCTGAGGCTCTCACCTCCCGCCACCTCCAGCCTTCAGACTCTGAATCCAAGCTGGGTGTGCCCTGATGCCCCAGAGTTCGGCAGCTCGAGCCTCTGAGCCTGTGGCTGCTCCCCACCAGCCTCCTCTCACCCCATGCTGACTCATCTTTGCAGTCTCATCGAGAACATCCCTCCTCTAGGAGGCTTTCTCTGATTTCCCAGGCAAAGCCATCAGCCTGCCATGCTTTGAGTCCTGTATGTCTTTCTCCTAACTCCTTCTAAGGCTCCACCCAGGTGGGCTGAAGGGCAGAGTGAGGAGCAGCCCAGAGCTGCTCTCCATTCTCCTGTCAGGCTGCAGGAGTTGCTCTGAAGTCAAAGCCATAAACAGAGTCCCAGTGTCCATCAGTGCCTGGGGTCAGGGTGTGTCTGGCATAGAGTCAGGGGACACTCATGCCAAAGGGGGCTTCTGGGGCAGACCAGTGGCAGCTGCAGGACAGGGAGTCCCGGGAGGAATGGGGGTTGGAGGGCAGTGTCCTCGTCTTCCAAATGTACATCATTTTCCCCCAGGGCTGTGAGGTGTCAGTGAGGCAGGACACCGGAGACTCAGCCAGCATCAGGTATGTGGGAGTGCTCCCTTCCCTGCTGATGGGGAAGTGAGGATAATCTGGCAGCCTTCTTCCAATACCCTGCCTCTCCTCCGGCCGACCACCCTGCTGGCCAGGCATTGACCTGCCACTGCACTGCCTGCATCTGGGGTGCCACTCACATGGTGCTAGGGATTGCATGGCCCTATGCAGTGGCCCTCCTGACTGTCCCTCCTGTGCCTGTTGGTTCGTCTAATGCCCATCTGTCCAGGCTGATTGTCAATCTGTGCAGCTGCTACACATACCTCACCTTCTCCAGTCTGGGGTGTGAGACTGGGATCGGCAGCAGTGAGGGGTTCCAGAGGCAGGACTGGGGGCTCTCAGAGCCCTTGAAGATGCGTTTTGTAGGGTGACCTCAGAGTCACCTTACTTGCCTGGGTCCTCTCCTTTCTCAACTCCACAGGATCTATGGCCTAAACCACCAACCACAAATTCCTGGGAGGAATCACAGCCTCAGTTTCTGTATCTGTGCAATGGGCTAGGAGCTGTTCTGAGTTGTTGTGAGGGTCAGTGGGCCAAAGCCTGAGACTGGCAGGGCGGGAATTGCACAAATATCCATCCTGTTTCATGTTGGCCCCTGGGCTGCGTACAGTGACTCCCACCTGTAATCCCAGAGCTTTGGGAGGCCAAAGTGGGAGGACTGCCTGAAGCTAGGAGTTCAGGACCAGCATGGGCAACATAGTGAGACTTTGTGTCTACAGAGAAACTGAAAAAATTAGCTGAGCATAGTGACAAGTGCCTGTAGCTCCAGCTACTTGGGAGGCCTGGTTTGGAGGGGGAGGCTTGGTTTGGAGGATTGCTTGAGTACAGGAGTCTGAGGTTTAGAGTGAGCTATGATTGCACCACTGCACTCCAGCCTGGGTGACAGAGTGAGGCCCTGTCTCTAACAAAATTAAAAATCTACTCCCAGAAAGGTGGCTCAGAGGGTGTATGCTTATCCCCCGGAAATCAGCATACATTTTCTCTGCCAACCTATGTCTTAACCTTCCGGGTTAGGGGAGGAAGACAGGCAGGTGACAAGGGAGAGACGGATTAGCACAGCTCCTCCCCTTAACCCTCCCACCCCACATTTTTTAGTGACAGGATTTTAAACAGTTGCTGTTGGCAAGAGCGCTGTCAGCCTACTATAGGTGAGGGTGGAGGTTAGAGGGCCCCTCACATCGATCCCAGACTGGGGCGTGGACAGGAAGCCCATTAGTCCTGCCTCCGTGCTGTGCAGTCTGGGCTGAGTGACTTGATTTCTCTGAGCTTCAGTGAGGCACTCTGAAGATAGGAGTTTCCTTGTTCCCCAGGCTCTGGGTCTGACCATGGAAGACCGATCACAGGGCCAGAGAGTCTGGCGTTGGGGGGCAGCTGAGGTGGTGGCAAGGCCACACAGCAGCATCTGGGTTCGAATCCTGGTTCTGCTGTCCTTTGCTAGCTTTGCTGCATTGGGCTGGTCGCTTTCGCCTTCTGAGCCTCTATTTTCCCTTCAGAAACATGGGGACCTGCCTCTTGGGGTTGCTGGGGTGTAGATGAGGACGTGAACCGGGGGTCCTTCATGTGGCTAGACTCCGGAGGCAGCTGACCGCCCAGGGGCTATGAATGGCAAGCCCAGAAGAGGGTGCAGGGTGGGGCCTGCCCCAGGGGGCGCTGGTGCCTGTGGACAGCCAGAGGAAGGAGAGGTGGCCTTCGGTGGTCCCCACCACAGGGGTGGAGAGAGGAGGCCGAGGAGCATCCAGAAGCCTGGGGGAAGGGAGAGAACACTGGGACATCAGTTCTGTGGACAGGAGGCCCAGAGGCATCCCAGATGCAGACATGCAAAGATAGGCAATGATGCCCCGTGTTGGGCAGGCAAACGTCCCCATGAGCATACCGCCACATCGGGGACTCACCTCTCTGGGTGCAGAGACACGCAGCCACTCCAGGAGACACAGTCATGCATGGCGCCCTGATACTTCTGAATGCCCAGCTTCATGCATGACACATCCAGGCAAACCGGCCCACAGAACTACTCCATAGACACATGCGCGCGCCCACACCCTGAGATTCCTCATCACATGCGGAGGAACCATGAGACTTCAAGGAACCCACCTTGAAAGCCAAATTCCTTTGAGGCTCTACTGTCACCACCACACTTGCCATCCCTGCTGCCGTCTCTGGAGAACCCCAGCCACATCCCATCCCAAGGCATCACGATTACTCAGAATTTGGCTTCAGCTTCTTCCTTCTCCCATGCCATACTCCTCTGGGAGCTCATCCATCCCGTGCCTCAGTGGCCAGCCACCTGGTTCCTGAAGAGCCGAGTGTTCGGCATCCAGTCACTTTGAGGCCCAGCTCTGGCCCAGGACGTCTTCACTTGGATGCCCATGAGATCCCCAGCTCACATGGCCAGATCACACATCTCCCTACTTCCTATGCCTCCTGTGCCCCCATCTTGGTGATCCAGAGACCTAGATGCCGCCTGGACAGCTCCCCACCAATATCTCCAGGATCTGCCCCCTCCTTTCTCCCCACCATTGCCATCCTAGTCAAAACCATCATCACCTCTCACCTGCTGACCTAATTCACCTCCCTCCTTCCATCCAGTTCCCCTATCTAGTTGGATCTATTCTCTACTCGGCAGCCAGGCCCTGACTAGTCCGGCCCTGCCTTCAGACTTTACTGTTCTTTCCGTTTAGGAGATTCACAGGATTTTGCCTGCCTCAGAGGTTTTGGACAAGCCTGGAATGCTCCCAGACACCCCTCCCCACTCCCAGTCCCCCCGGTGTCAGGTAACTGCAGATCTCAGTTTAATATGTAGCTTCTTCCAGGAAGCCTTCCACGATGCTCCACCCTCTAAACAAGGTTGGGTACCCAGGTAACGGGGCTTCTTTGTACCACATCTGAGCTCATATCACACTGTTGATCTCCTTGAAGCAGGGATGACCAATCCCCAGTTCTCAGCCTGGGGGCTGGCACTTAAGGGCCCTTCGCAAATATTGGTTGATTGAATGAATGAAAGTGTTGGAAAATGGGATAGAATGAAATGGAGACCAGGTGAACGCATTTCTTTTAAGGTTGGAGATGGCTCTGGGTTGGGATGAGATAAGGGTGGAAGAGATGAGAATCACGGGAGGATTGGGCAGGAACAGGGACCTCAAGCCCTCCTGCCTCCTGACCTGCTGTCCCTGGTGGCCATCAACAAATCTGCTAATGTCACATGCGGGAGAGGCCCAGGCCCAGGAAGCCCCTTCCTACATCCAGGCCCTGCCCCCCAAGAAGAAGCACCACAGGCGTGTACAGGTCGGTTTATTTACAAATATACTGATGTCTCGTCTTTTTTTGTTGTTTCCATTTTCTGCTGTTGTGGGAAGAAGTGGAAGGTGAGAGTGGAGGGCAGGGCGGGGGTGATGGTGTGGTAAATGCTAATAAATAATTTAACAATGACGAGTTATTAAATAAAATGTGTCTGGGGATGGCGGGTGGGCAGTGAGAGTCTGTCTGTACAAGGAAAACAGGCGTGGCCGGTGGCCCATCCCCACACCCGGCTGGACTGGGCTCCCATGGGACCCCCGTGGGGGGAGGGTGGGGGAAACCAGCAAAGAGGCTCATTGGTAACAGTGCCTTCCAAGGGCCAAATGTTAGAGGGTTCGTCTTTCCTGCTCCCCTGGGCCCCCAGGCCCCATGTGCCTGCGAGTGTGGGTCCGTGAGCCTCAACATGCATCCAGGTGTGAGTGTGTGTGTGCGAGTGCGTGTGTGCAAGCGTGGGGCCCTTTCCCCACAGGGCAGACTTAGCCCCAGAGCTGCAGGCTCTCCCTCACCCTAGGTGGTGCCTAGAGCTCAAGGATGGAGCCAGGCAGGCATCAGGCAGTCCTCCTTCCCAAGGCTCCCTGTGTGCAACATGAAAAGGGTGTTCAGAGGGAGTTTGGGGGAGGCAGCTTCTTGCTAGTAGGCTGCAGGGCTTCCCAGAGGAGAAGAGGCTGTCCCCAAACCTATGCTGGGAGCTTGGCACTCATCTGATGCAGTGCCAGGGCCTTCCCACCTTCACCCACCCTCAGGAAGCCTCCTAAGATGCCCAGCCGTGTGCACCAAGCCCCTCTCCGGCCTCTTTCCAGGCTATGCTGGCACCTTGGTCTGACCCTTGTGAGGAGCGTATCTGTGTAGCCTCCCTGTGTGTTTCCTGGGATAGCGAAGCGGCTGGGAGGCTTCACGGAGCAAGCAGATGAGGCTCTGGCTGGGGCCATGAGCCGGGCTTCGTGTCCCTCCTCTGCCCTGTGTTAGCTGGGCTGATTCTTTCCTCTTTCTAAGCCTCAACCTCCCCAGCAGGGAGGTGGAACTTGGCTTTTCGTCAAGACCCCTCCTGCACACCTCTCATTCTGTGTTTTGCTCCGGAGACTACACAGTTATCTCCCTCTTCCCAACCCAGCCCCCCTAGTGATGAAGATCCCATGTCATGGCAGGGGTGAGGGGTGGTCCTGGCTACTCCCTGCCCAGCTCCCAGCGAAGGCTGCACCTCCTCCCATAAGGTGGGAGAGGCCTGCCCGGCCCTGCAGACCTTTGCTTGCTGGCCCTGAACACATCGCCTCCCTTCTTTGAGCCTCAGGCTCATCTGAGAAATGGGTCCCTGCCATGTCTAGACTCTCTGGCTGGGCTTTCCTTCTGGGAGAGAAGCCCTTGAGGGCAGGCCCTGCATTCTTGTTCATCTGTGTGCTACGCCCAGTCCAGGGCTGGGTGGAATGGGTGCTGGTGTCTAAGAGCCTGTGAGCAGCAAGGCACAGCATAGAGCAAAGTGTCCCTAGCCACGGCTGACAGGGCACCTCCAGCATGAGGGGCTCTCTGAGGTCCCTTCTGGCTTTAACAAGCGTGCTGTCCCTAGACCAGCTCCCAGCATGGGGTCCTGGCTAGATTCGGGGCCTTGTGAGGGCCCAGAATGGGAAGAGGTGACCCCAGGGGCTGGCAAGTTTGCTAAGAACAAGTTGTGACCCCCTGACCTGAAGGTCATTCACAAACCACAGGGGACGATGGGGCTGGCACGATGTACCTGTTCTCAGCTCAGCTGTCACTAACCCGGACCTCGGACAGGTCTCTTCCCCTCTCTTGCCTCAGGGTTTCCAGCTATAAAATAAGAAGTGGGGGGTGAGATGACCGTTTCTGATGTCGCTTCCAACGTATCGGGTCTGGGAGAGAAGGGCCAGGTCTCCTGCGAGGTCAGGTGTCTGCCCCTGCATCTGCCCAAAGTGTCCCTGGCATGATTCAGATGGTGCATGTGCAAAGGGAGAAAGAGGGGTGTGTCTCCAGAAGCCAGCACAGCTGCTGCCCAAGGGACCCATGGTGGCACAGTCCCTGGTGGGCTGAGGTGGCAGAAGGACCAGGACATCAACTGAAGTCCTTGAAGAAGCTCTGTTTGGAAGAGCTTCAGCAGGGCCAGCTGGCTGCTGGGACCCGATGGTTGACACAGGGCTGCATGTCAGGCGAGGAGGGTGGCCTAGGATGCACTGGGGGAGTGAGTTCCCCAGCAAACAGGGGAGCAAAACCACAGGACAGGTTGAACTCGGAGAAGTCCAGAGATCCAGGCAGAGGGTCTCAAAGGTGGAAAGGGATACTTGTCATCCTTACTTGCTCAAAGGTTGGATCAGGCAGACCTTGTGGTGGCGGCTTAGGGCTTGACTTTAGAGTTAAAGGCAGGGTTGTGAGCACCTGAGCAAGGACACAGTGACCAGCAGGGGCCAGGGTGGGCTCCCCAGTCAGGCCCCAGCAGCTCAGCCTCCTTGCTCTGACGGGGTTAGAAGTTGAGCAGACCGGGGCTGGGCTGGATCGAGTGTATCTGGCTTCCAGCACGGCGCCCAAAAGGATCTGCCATCTCCCTGGGGGAAGGGGGCAGGAAATGCAATTGGAATGTATCCCCCAAAGAGGATGGATTAATGGGCCAATGTCAAACACGGAGAGGCCACCCTGGTCCACACACCTCGGGTGAGACACCTAGGGCCAGCTCCTCACTGGGCAGGTGTGCTGGGAGAGAGCAAATCAGTGGTCACAGAATCAGGGTGCAGAGAAATTCCACAGGCGGGAAGGAATCGAGTAGGAGGGAATGGAACGGGAAAGAGGGCACGGTCCCTCACTCGGTCTACACAGTAAGTGCCCCCATCATCCTGTGTATACAGAGGGAAAGATGTGGCTTAGCTGTCACCTGTGTGTGGGGTCCGGGATTTAGTTACAGCAGAGCAGGGTGACTTTCCAAGGTCATGTGGCCAAATCACTCATTGGTTTTCAGGCCACATTAACAGGATCAGGGTGCCACAGCCGGAGAGGAAGGTACCTGCTCCCTTCTGGCCAGCTGACAGCAGCGGGAAGGTGAAGTGATACTGCCCCAGAGACAGCTGGAGGCCTGCTAGAGGGACAGTGTTGAGAGGAAGAGCTGGAGAAGCCTGGCTCTGGGAAGCAGAAAGGCACAGCTGCCTTGGCTCACTCATGTAGTGAGCCCCTTGTCATTGGAGGTATGTGAGGGGAGGCAGAGGGGCTGGGGAGGACCACATTGCAGATGGGGTGCCCAGCAAGTGCTTTTGAGGTCCCTGGCCACATGGAGTTTCTGCCGTCTGGCCTGATGCTATCTGGTTCTCGGGGCTCCATTTGCCTCCAGAGTTGGTGGGCCTGGGGCTGCCCTCCCTGCCCAGGAAGCCCCCATCTGGGCCCAGGCTGGGATACAGCTGAGTCCGCATGCTTCAAGCTCACCTCCCTCTCCAATTGCTCTAAGAAGCGGGGGTTCCCTGTCCCTATCTGGCCTCCTTTCCCCTTTCTGACAGGCCAGGGCAGACCCACTGAGCACCCCGTCCCTTTCGGGCTCCCCACAAAGCTGTGTGCATGTTTGCGTGGGTCTGCCTGCGCGTGTGCATGTGTCTGCATGTGCCTCTCTGTACCTTCGCGCCTGGCCAGACTCAGGCCACGAGCACACCTCCTGACCGTGCCTCCTCCTCGGGCCTTCCCCACTGCTGCTCCAGCCTATTCCAGGCAGTGGGCCTGCCCCCAGAGGCCATCCCTTCCCTGCTGGGGCACAAGTACACACACTTCTCAGGTCACCGCCTCATGACACCATTGTCTTGGGGGGCTTGCATGGAGGGCCACGGACACAGAGAGGACATTTAAAAAAATAGAGAGAATTTAAGCTTCCCAAAAAAGAGATGGGGAGGAGGCGATGGAGGCCAAGGTGGGGCTGGGAGGCAGGTGGCCATCCGAGAGCTCTGGGTCCCTGGGGATGACAAGGTCTCTGTGGGCAGGACACAGCCCCTGCCCAGGCTGTGCCCCATCTACCGGTCTGGCTGTACCCCATGGGCACAGTGGCCAGGCCTGGCTGGCCGAGGGGAGGGCACCGTATGGCTGTCTATAGTCTGTGCAGAGAGCAGGGCGGGGTGGCCAGGCTGGCCAAGGAGGCTGGCGGTCCCCCCCAGGCCCCTGCCCAAGCGTCCGTGCACCCGGCTGGCTCTCAGGAGGCGAAGTAGGAACTCTGCATGGAGTAGAGCCGGTCGATGGGGTTCCCCACACGGGCCTGCAGGGAGCCAACATCTGAGGAGCCAAGGAAGCAGTCACTGAGGCTGGTTAAGGAGGTATCGCTGTCGATGTCGTGGAAGATGGAGTCATTCCCTGGGGGGCAGAAGGGGTGTCAGGACCGGCATGCAGGCTGGGACTCCTGGGGGACCTGTTAGTCCTGTAGGCTGTGTGACTGGAGGCCAGGGAGTGGTGGGATGGCCTGCTGGCCAATGTCACCCAAGAGGGGCTGAGGCCCTTCCTGTCAGCAGGAGGCAGGAGGGCTGTGCTGGCCACGCTGCCTGAGGCCGGGGGCAGCAGGTGGCTGTCATGGCCCTAGGCCTGCCCAGCCTGGCAGGGGGCAGGGGTTGTGCTGGGGTGGGGGGCAGAGGTAGGGCGGCTTACCATAGGGGTTCATGTGGTCACCTGGCATTTGGGGTGGCGTGAGGCCCTGCTGGAAGGGGTCGCTGCTGCCATAGGGGCTCTGCTCCATGGCCACGATCTGCTGCTGTGGCGGGGCCAGCGGCGTGTAGGAGGCCATCATGCCCTCCATGCGGCTGGACAGGACCTCTGGGGACACAGTGAGCCTTCACCCACTGGCCCGGCCCATGCCCTCCCGGCTGCACCCCATGGCCCAGCTTCCCCAGCAGCCTCTCCTTCTGGCCTCCTTGGGACTCCCAGGTACCCCTCTCTAGCTGAAGCTGTCCAGACACTGACTCCCCAGCCCTTCCCCAGGTGCACGCTCCAGCTCCTCCTGCAGACTCGGTTTGATAAAAGCCAGAGTCCTCCCTTGCTATCTTCTTTCCTCCCATCACCCACCTACCCAGGGGATCCAGGGAACAGGGGGAGGCAGACCCCACACAGGCAATAGCGACTCTGCCCTGCATCTGGGAGTGCCAAGGTCTCAGACCCAGGCCAAAGAGGCCCCGGGAAGGCTTCCTGGAGGAAAGGGCATCCACCCTGGTGTGACTTAAAGAACTAGCAGGGGCTCGACAGGCTGGAGCAAGGGAGGCAAGCCAGGCTGAGGGGCAGCAAAGGCCCAGAGGAGACAGACCAGCAGTGGGTAAGGGTGCAGCACGCAGGCTGAGAGCCAGGGAGAGAGGTTGGTGTGTGGGGAGACCAGCTGAGAGGGACTGCAGGTCATGGGGAGCCCTGGGGGGAGCCCCCTAGGCTGTTGGGAGCCACAGGAGGGTCTTGGCAGGTGAGGACTAGAAAGGCTGGAGGGAGAGACCAAGGCTGGGGCCAGTGGGGGAGGAAGCCAGAGGAAGGGCAGGGTCTCTGTCAAGGTTGCTGTGGGAGAGAGCTCCTGGGAGGGTGGGAGAGACACAAGACTTCACTCCCCAACTTGGCACCTCAGCGGATCACAGCGTGGGACAAGAAGGGTCAGAGGTGACTCCTGGTTCCTGGTATAGACAGAGTGGATGGTGGTGGCATTTGCAGAGACAGGGTGGGGAGGAGGAGGGCATGCCATGTGCGTGTGGGCAGGAGGGAGGGGCGCAGGATGGAGGGAGGCAGGAGGGAGGGTGTGGCATGGGCTGGGATGAGCTGGGGGGACTGTGGGACTTCTCGGGCTGTGTCCAGCAAGTAGCTGGGAACACAGGGGTGAGACACAGCCCAGGATCTGGCTGGGAGACCAGAGGCCAAGAATGTAGCCTTGGAAAGGGCAGAGGGGGAGTGAGGAAGAAGCAGGCTCTGAGGCTGAGTCCAGCCTAGGTCACTGGCCTGGCCCCCAGTGCCCTGGCACCTGGCCAGAAGCCTCCCTCTCATGGGGGAGCAGGCAGCTGTGTCCCCCACCCGCTTCTGTAGTCCCAGGGAGCTCCCTGCGCCTCCCTTCATGGTCTTGAAGGTTCAAATTCTCATGCGTCCCAGTAACCAGCCTGGCTGGAGATTCTGATGTGGAAACAGCAGTTTTGGTGAAGCCCAGTGATGAGGGACCTGACTCATGTCCCTGAAACCAGTCCCTCACACCTCAGCAGGAGCCTCTCGCCTGCCCGGACAAGCTTTGCCTGCAGAATTCCAGCAGTGGGGTAGTGTCCTCCTGTTAAAGGCACAGGCTCTGAGCACCAGGCTTGGGGCCGAGGTCCAGCTTTGCACCTGACTGGCTGAGGGAGGGATCCCAGGGAGTCCCTCAGTTTCCTCATCTGTGAAACAGGACATGGCAATACCCTCCCTTGCAGTGATCTGTGAGGACGGCATAAGAGGGCGTGTGCTGAAGGCTGAGCCCGCGTCTAGCTGCCTCTGTCTCTCCTCCCAGGGTCCCCTAGTCCCCATGGCTTCTCTATTTCTCTATGTCTCCATGGTTTTAAGGCAGAAGTTCCCTGGGCTCTGATGGCCTTGGGGGAAGGCTTTTCAGAAGTTTTATTAAAGGACACATCCCGGGTCCCCTGGTCCCTAGCCTTGGGACAGGCACAGCCCCGGCCCCAGCTCACCCTGGCCCAGCCGCTGGGAATTCTGCTGCTCCTGCTGCTGCTGGTGCCGCCGAGCCAGCTTCTTCATCTGCAGGGAGAGCTGGTTCAGGCCGGTGCCACCCCTCCCCCCAGGCATGGCCAGCCCCACCCCCTCTGGACCCCTGTCTTCTGGCTGCCCCCTCTACTCCCACCCTACCCGGGGCCTCTTACCTTTGCTCTTTGGTTCTGAAACCAGACCTGGACCACACGCACACTGAGGCCCGTCTCAGCTGCCAGTGTCTCTCGGACCTGGCCCAGAGAGAGGGGGACAGGTCAGGCCCTCCAGGGGCAGCAGCTGGGAGACGGTGGGTTTAAGGGGATGATGAAATGTCGGGGAGAGATGGAGGGATGTCCCTAGCCCCAGCAGGAGCAGGGGGTGGTATCCAGAAAGGCAGCCCTCAGCCCCACCCCCCAGCCGCCCCTCACCTTTCGGCAGGGCTTGGATGAGACCTCAAAGGAGGCCTTGAAGGCTCTTCGCTGCTGTGTAGTGAGGATGGTCCGGGGTCGCTTGGGCCTCCTTGGGTCCTTCCCGTCATCCCCGCTGCCCTTGCTCTGGCTGCCCTGCCCCTTGGCCGGCTTCATGTCCCCATCTTCGTCCTCGCTCTTCACTGTGGGGGACACAACCCGGCCTGTCAGGAAGGGCCAGGGACAGCCCAGGCCTCAGTCTTGTCCCCTTTGGCAACCTGCTGCCCGACAGGAGACTGCACCCCTCTGCTGACACCTGCCATGGCTCCCCAGTTCCCGCAGGATAAGGCCTACTTCGCTCCTCTGGCCCTCGGGCCCTGCCTCACCTGGCCCCTCGTCTCCTGCCCGCTGTACCCTGCAACTCCCTTCCCCGGCACACACTCCTCACTTCCTCATCCTGGGCCGCAGGCACACCTGCACAGGAACTCAGACAGGTGCACCTTGGACAAGCACAGCATGGGCGTGCACACACATACATGCGGCCACACACACACTCAGGAAGCCAGGCCCACTCAGGAAACAGGCACACAGGCATACACACATGGTCATGCACGTGGCTCTGTGTGTGGACATACGCAGAAGTGTGCAAGACATGCACCTTAGATATTCATGCAAGAGTGCTCATGAGCGTCGCATACGCACACACTCATAAGACTCACACACTTGGTACAAGCGGCTCACAGGTGTATTCACACACACGGGCCCATGCTCATGGGCAATAACAGACAGGCATGCATGCATGTAAACAGACATACAGCGTGTGCATTCACCCAGCACTACAGCCACACCCACTACACACACACAGAACTTCCACGCCCCAGGTTTGGGTCTCAGAAATGCCAGCCCCAGATGGATGGCCAAACTATCCACTGGCCCAATTCTCCCCAGCCACCACTGGGCCTCCTGCTGCCCCCTGGGCTGGTCTCCCTTCTTCTATCCTGTCCTCTTCAGAATGTGGGGGTGATCTCCCACTGAGACCCCTCTGTTGGGCCTGGCATGAGGGGATCACTGGCGCCTGGCCAGCCTTTGCTCTTCCTCAGGAGTCTGGACAGCCATAGGGCCAGCTGCAGTGGTGCCCTGCCCAGGGAGGGGTAGGGACAGATGGTGGAGAACTCGCTGCTGGCCATGGCAAGCCCTTCCCATATGGCAGATCCTGTTGCCACAGGGCTGCAGGTTACCACGGGGCCTGGCAGACCGGGACACCTCCTCTCCACACCGCCTGCTCCAGTCCTTCCCCACTGTTCCCATGAACAAGGGCTGAAGCCACTTCCTGGGCTTTCCCTCCTTAAGGCTCATTCCTGGCTGGGCTTGCCCTGTCCACCAAGAGGGTTCCAAACTGCCCTCATCCTTCTGGGGGCTAGAGCAGAGTAGGGAGGGTCCTTCACCCTGGGAAATGGGGTCTTTCCCTCAAGCACAAAGGGCCCAGCCCCTATCCCTTGCCTGGGAAACAGTATGGCCCAGGGCTGTTTGCTTTACCGGATGAAGGTTTCAGGGGGCCGAGGAGGGGAGAGCACACCAGGCCCCTGCCTCTCAGGTGTCCCCAGCCTGTGGACCGGGTGCTGGTGAGGACCCCTGTGGAGCTGTGCTGTGTGTGTGGGGGGCATAAAGAAAGAGAGCACAAGGGGGATGGGCCAGAGAATAAGAGCTGTGTGTGTACACACATGCGCAATCCACAGTACATGTGAGCATGTGTACAAACATGCATGTGCAGCCGTGTGGATTGGTTAAATACCACTAAATGTGCACACGTGTGCTGTATCATATGCCTATGTGTGTGTACGCCTAAGTGTGGTTTTTGTATTCCCAGGTATGTGAACATATATCTCCACATTTATTTACATGTATATATGCTCAGGGTAGGGATACTCCTGTGTGCATTTTATGTGCTTGTGTGTACATGTGATCACACATGTGTTTATATGTATGGATGTATAGCTCTCAGGTAGTGAGCAGAGCACATTTTGTGAGCCTGGGGAGATGCACGTTCGTGTCATGTGCACGCAGGTGGACACATCAGTGTGCAAATGCATCGGGACGTGCATGCATCATCTGTGTCCAGCTCAGGTCCTGGAAGCAGGAGATGGCTTTTCCAGCCAGGACCCCCCCCCCAGGACACCCCAGCAAGCCCCATCCCCGAGGCCTGCCCCCAGCTCACCAGAGTCGGACTCGTCGGGGCTCACGGAGCTGAGCAGGTCCTTCTCCTTCTCGTAGTCACCCTTGCACAGCAGCTGGCCCTCCTTGAGCACGAACTCGTCGCCCTTGCGTAGCTGCCGCTCACAAACGCAGCAGCAGAAGCAGCCCAGGTGGTACACGCACTCCAGCGCCCGCATCACGAACTCGGTGGGGGCGATCTTCTCCATGCAGCCGCTGCACTTGGCCGCGAAGAGCCTGCGGATGCACAATGTGGGTGTGTGGGCTGTGCTCAGAAGTCCCTCCCAGAGGCCACTCTTGCCGAGGGCCTCTCCCTCTTGCCACCCTGACCCTCAGACCTAGGTGAGAGGGAGAGGCCCCCCTTGGGCACTGTCAATATAGTAGGAGGGCCCTGCAGCCCTATTCTTCTGCCTACAGGCCCCCAGTGGCTCTGGGACGGGTGCTGGCAACCTGCCTAGAGTCACCTCTCCCAAATGAGGCAGCTCAGGGCCCTTCCAGCTCAGAGACATGGTGGCCACTAGAGGGCAGTGTGCAGGGTCCACCCAAACTTTTCCTGGGGGCCAGGTCAGCCCCCGTCTGGAGAGGATCCCTTTCTACTCAAATTCCCCATCTGCCGCTCCTCTGATTCTCCCTCACCAACACATCCAAGCAACTCCCAGCCCCGACTAACCCACTGCCCAGCCTGGGCCTCTCCTCTCCTGCCCGAGCAGCTGCCTGGTCCCTTCCCTGGGCTCCTGGCCCCTTCAATCCTTCAAACCCCAGCCCACACAGCAGCCATCACACACACAGGAGCCAGGGAGATCTTTCTAAAATACAAATCGAATCAGGTTGCTTCCCTGCTCCAGACTCTTCCATGGCTTCCATGGGCCTTGGAGAACATCCGAGCTCCTGAGGCTGGTACTCAAGGCCCTTCATGATCCTGCCTCTCCCCTCTTTACCCTCTGCTTCCCCAGGCTTCAGCCCCAAAGAACAGCCTGAAGTTTCCCCAAAGCACCATCATGGCAGCCTTTCAACATATTCCTTCTCCGTCCTTTGGCTTGGCTAACATCTTCCTATCCCTCTGTCACAGCTTACGCATCTTCATCCTGAACAGATATTTACTGAGCACGTACAGAATGCCAGCCCTGCTCTAAGCACCTTATGTGCAGAGATGCATTTAATCCTTGCAACAACCCTACAAGAAGAGAATGAACATTAACCCCATTTTAGAGATGAGGAAACTGAGGCGCTAAGAGGCAGAGTCACTTGCTCTGGGTTGAATGGGTAGCAAATGCTGGAGCCAACTACCAGGCTGAGCCTAATTCAGTCCCTATGTGACAAAGTGGTAGCATCTCCCATCATCTCCGCAGACAAATGAGGGCGGGGGTCTCCGGGCCCTGGCCAGCACTAGCAGGAGGGGCTGAGCAGCACACCCTCCTCCGCTGTGTCTGCTGACCGCTCCTCCCGACACTCCTCCACCCTGTCACATGTCCTGCTCTGTGGGAACTCAACTCAACAACACTTTGATGGAAAAATTTATGAAGAATCAAATTATTGCTGCTGGGAGGGAATTAAAACCATTTTTCATTCCCGGCATCCCCGGGCCACGTCTGCGGGCGCCACCTTGGGAGTGCTGTGCACATCCCATCCCTCTTTATGGCCCGCCATCACGGGCACAGATTACAGCTGCAATTCTCTACTAATCGGTTCTGGAACAGAAATGGCCATAAATGGGAGGCACTGCCTGCCTCCCTTCTCGGGGCTGCCGTCAGAACCACCCATGGTGAGCTGGTGGAGCAAAGTGGGCAAGGCCACTTTGAGCTCTGCCTGCTGCCCGAGCACTGGCCAGGGCACTCAGCTGGGGGCATGCCCAGAGACCCCTGCCACCCACCTCTATTCTACCCAACAGGCTCCTACTCATCCTGCAATGCCCAACTCCAATGCCACCTCCTCTGGGAAACCTCCTCTGACGCCCCAGTCTGGGGGAGGTGGCCTCCTCTATGCTCCCTGAGCTTCCCCCAGCCTCAGTTTACTCCTGTAAAATGGAGATGTCAAGCCCTTCCTGAAGGCTGTTGTCAGGATTCGAGGAAGCTGAGCATGTAACTCAGTGTGTGGGTATCACGGTGGAGTGACCTGCATGTCCCTGTCGGTGCCCTACTCTACCAACTCTACCGGGGTTCCACGAGTCAGGACCTAGCCCCATTCGATCCTCAAGGGGGCCTCAGTGAGTGTTCATAGAGCAGGTGAGTAAAGGCCTGGGGTGAGCCGAGGCTGAGGCCAGGCTCTGCTGTGGACACGTTGTACCCCAGCAGCCCGCAGGGCATGGCTCTGTAAGGGGAATGTGGGCTGGATTTTGGCTCTAATTTGGCCCTCTGGCTGAATCACCTTGTTCAGGGCACAATCTACCCAACTGTCAGTGACAGCTTCAGGCAGAGGCCCTGGGAATCCGGCTTTCTGTCCAGCTCTACTGAGGGGCTGAGGAATGAGCCTGGGTTTGTAGAACCTGCCACTCTGACATGGAGGGCACTCCTCTCCCAACCCCCAGTGCCCCTCTGTCCCCTCCCCAGGCTCTACCTGACCTAGTGGCCCTACTAAGGTCTGTAGCCTGACCTCTGTGGCCTCCCAGCGGACAGACACTGGCTACGTCGTTGCTAGCATGGCAGGGCCAGGGTCTCAGGGTCCCAGGCCAGGGTCGGCATACCCAGAGAGAAGCCGTTTTTAGGCTGGGGAGGGGGCAGCAGGGCGGGTGACCTGCATTTGCAGTCAAAGCCACGGTGATGGCTGTGTGCAGAAGAGCCGCGCTAATGCCTTGGCAGCAGGGGGTCGATTGCTACTTTCTCCAAACTCATCAACACAATCTATTATTAATACTTCTCCAAAGGCTCGGTGCCGCCATTATGGAGGCAGCGCCAGCCACTCAGGGCATCATCTGTTATCTAGATTGCAAAAACTCGGGAAATAAAACAAACTGCACGCACTTTATAAACAGAATGCGCCATCCGTTTGGTCTCCAAGCATCTCTCCACCCAATAAAACATCGGGGGGGATGAATGAAATACTCACTCCCAATTACCGGGCTGCCTTTGTCTACTGGGCTGGGGTGAGAGCGACTAATGGCTCGTGTGGGAGGCGTTGGGGATACCAGCGGGGTCCCCTCTTCTCTGTGAGCCTCCATTGCCCTTCTCTTCGTGCCTCCTACCACGGAGGACTGTGGAGCCAGTCCCAAAAGCAGGCCCAGCCACAGACAGGTGGCACTGGAATCACGTGGACTTGAGTTCCATGCCTTGTCCCACCAATTGCTAGCTGGTAACCGGGAAAGTAATGTTGTCTTCTCGAGCCTCAGCTCATGTATCTGTACGATGGGCTGAAAGACACTGCCTGCATCTCAGCATGAAGATGTAGTAAGCTGTCAGTATAAAGCAATGGGTGTGGCAGGCACAACCTCCATAATTTCCTTGCTGTGTGGCTTTAGGCAAGGCATTTAACCTCTCTGAGCCTCAAATTCTTCATCTATAAAATGGGAGTGATCAGGCCAGGCGCGGTGGCTTCTATCTGTAATCCCAGCATTTTGGGAGGCTGAGGCAGGCAGATCACTTGAGGTCAAGAGTTCAAGATCAGCCCAGCCAACATGGTGAAACCCTGTCTCTACTAAAAATACAAAAAAATTAGCTGGTGTGGTGGCACACACCTGTAGTCCTAGTTACTTGGGAGGCTGAGGCAGGAGAATCTCTTGAACCCGGGAGGTGGAGGTTGTGGTGAGCTGAGACTGCGTCACTGCACTCCAGCCTGGGCGACAGAGTGAGACTCCATCTCAAAAAAATAAAAAATAAAAAGAATGGGAATGATCATCCCCAACCATGGGGTTGTTGGCAGGGGCTGGATTCCTTTAAAGCCCTTGGCACCATGCTGGCATGAAGGAGGTCCTCCACAGAAGTCTGCCCTTCTCTGCCTTTCTTTGGTTTGGTGTGTGCCCAAAACGCCTTTGTTACTCGCCCTTGCTAGGGTCTCCATGATTCCTGGGAGCAGCCTGCAGCCTCCCATCCTAACATTGACTGGGTTTACAGGGCCCCACTGTGCCTCCTTCTCACACCACCCTGGGCTCTGGCCAGCCCTTCCAGCTTGTCTGGCCTGATCTGGACAGAGCACTCCTGGCTCCATTATCAGTCTCAGAACATTATTGAGCACTAACAATGCTCAGTTATCAGCTACCTGTGTCACCTCATTCAATCCTCATAAAATCCTGAAAGGAAGACGCTGTTTCCATTATTCCCATTTTACAGATGACCACAGTAATGTGCACAGGCCAGGTCACTCTTTCCAGGTCACACAGCAGCATCACCAGATACTCCCTCCCTGCTCTGTACATCTCAGCGTGCCTTTGCCCATAAGATGCCCTTGCCCTGGGCCCCGGGTACCATGCCCGTGTCTGTCTGTTCTTGAGACTTGGGGACCAATTCACCCCACGTTCTTATTATTCAACATAAGCCCGGCCCCCAGAAGGTGGGGCTGGGCATTTGCATCTCCCGCACAGGCAAACACTTTCCTCCTGCTGTGGGATCATCTGAGATTATGGAGTAAGAAATTCCATTTTCAGGGATGTCCTTCCTATGAAGAGTCCCAGGGTGTGAGAAGATATCTCCATATCCTCTGAGTTTTTATGGGTGTATTTGTTTAATGCTCAATTTATTAAACTCATAAGGCTAATAAACAAAACTCCTGAAAACCAATTTTTTCAGGAGCATGTGAACATGGATTACAACTCTGATTAATTTCTTAAGAGACACAGAGTATGGCTGATTCATTGACAACTGCAGAGACACAGAGTATGGCTGATTCTTTTACCTCCAATAACATCGGCTTCCTAACGTCCTGGGAGCACTCCAAGCAGGTCTTCATGCGCAGATCTTAGGGTCCAGACAGCAGATGCCAAGCTTGGAATCCTGGGCCTATCACTTCCTAGCACTGGAATCTTGCACAAATCCCTTCTCTTGAGCCTGTGTCCCCACCTGTCCAATGGGATGATGATGGAGACTGCCTTACAGGGCAAGGCCCATGAGATGGACTCCATAAACAGCGACTGTGATCACTGTTACCAACTCTCCAGGACTTCCCAACTTCCGCTTACTATCCTTACTGAGTCAAGATGTCCTACCCTCTCCTCAGTGCCATTCCCACACCCTGTCACTGCCCTTTACAGTTGATGTGGCTCTTCCTTGGGTTCTTAGAACATTTGACACTCCACACTCCATGAGTGTCAA